TCTTCCATCTCCCTCCCCTTCTCTCCCACTCTCTCTGTGGTATGTGTGTGTGTGTGTATATAGTGTCTGTGTCTGCACAGCTCCAAGTCAGAGGTCAACTTTGGGTACCTCTCTCTATTGCACTCCACTTTTTAATTTTTTTCATGATTTATTTACTTTTATTTTGCATGTATGAGACTTTTGTCTAAATGTTTGTATATATGTGCACCATGTAGGGTCTCTAGTATATGTGGAAGCCAGAAGAGGGTTTTTAACCTGAAACTGGAGTTAAGGATGTTTGTCAGTCATTGTATGAGTGCTGAGAACTGGACTCGCGTCTTCTGCAAGAATACCAAGTTCACTTAACCAATGAGCCATCTTCCCAGTCCTGAGTTTTTTTTAAATATATGTATGTGTGTGTATTTCAATGTATATATACATATTTATAATTCTCTGAGACTGTCATACATGTATAGATTGTACCTTGATCATATCCACGCCTTATTCTCTCCCTTCAAGTCCTCCTAGACTCTCCTCCACCAATATGTCCTCCTCTAAACTTTATTTCCCCCACCTCTGTGTGTGGATGTGTGTCTGTGTACATGATGCTGAATCTGTTAGCACTGCCCAAGTGCACATAGACATGCACCAGCCATTGAAGCATGAACAATCTACCAGTGGCCGCATTCTGTTTTGAATATAAATTATCACCAAGCAAACACAAACCAGAGAAGCCAATACAGTGGTCCATATCATCCTTTAGTGCCTTTTCTTTTAAAAGCACAAGATCTTCTTAATAAAAGCAGAGAAACCCAGCTTTCTGACTGGGAAGGCACATTCATATTTTCAATATCTCCCAACTATGTATTGCTTGATTGATGGATGCTGTAGCATGAAAGCAACTATAGATATTACCGTGTTAACCAGCTAAGTGTTGGAAATTTTAAATTATAATCCATCTGTACCTTTAATGTATATATTAATGAGCTAAAAGTAGAGCCCATCTGCATACTATTATTTTATGGATGAGTTTCAAGGTCTTGCTGGCACATATTTAGAATTTCTAACATAGCATACTGGAGTTGGAAGAATCTTCAGGCATTAAAGCTTTCCCCTTTCCACACTGGTTGACAGGCCTTCCAGACACTTGCAGCTCGGAGTGACATTTAGCTAAGGCCATACCCTCAGTTAAACCTCACTTGGCCAGGTGATAGACTTCTTGCACAAAAACCTCCGGACTTCTATATTATATTTACAAATTGCCCATTTTCTTCTTGGTCACATCTTAGGTAACAGAAGCTTATACAAGCAGATAGTCAAAACTGACGGTGAGGCTTCTGAAGGCCGGAGGGGTGATGCAGACGTCAAGAGCCTTTGTTGCTATTGCAAAGGACTGGGTTTCAGTACCTAGCACTCACTTAGTAGTGAACAATTTGTGACTCTAATTCCAGGGAATCTGATTCCTTCTTTTGACCTCCAGGTCACTAGGCATACACATGGCACATATCCATACATGCAGTCAAAAATAAAATAAAATTGAAAAGTGTAAATTTTAAAGGTTTCTGATTTGATATTTTGATTTCCTTGATTTATATGTATTCAAATGTGTGACGTGTACTTTTCTTTTTTTCTTCCAAATTCATGTTTATTAGTTTCATTTATAAAAATCCAAATTCTTTGATAAAATTTTTTCTTGCATTTGGTAAAAGTAACATCTGCTATTGGGGTTTTCTGAGGAAACGGAATAACAAAACAAATCACGTTATCTGAACTGGGCCATATTCCTATTTATTGGAATGAAGTTTGTTGTCAAGGAGATTTAAAAACATAGTGTTTTGTGAAATAGACATCTGGTGGGTGGGGCATGATCTTAGAAGGTGGCAGCTGCTATCGTGTGTAGCTTTTCCTATCATTAAAAAAAAAAAAAACTCGAGAAACCCTGTCTTGAAATACCAAAAAAAAAACCTCGTTCTAGTTTCACTGTGTTTTAAATATGATTCTAGATGATAAATGTGCCTTAGTTAAATCATTTCCTTACATGTTTAAATCCAGATATAAGTCTAAACCATAGTCAACAATATAATTACTTTTGACTATGAATACATCTACCTATGATTCTGTTTGGTTTTCAAATGATATCTAATTTTTTCATAGTTTCTATTTTCATATCTTATTTACAGAACTATTATGTGCTGCATATTTTTGTACATGAGACACTTACTTTGGCACCAGGAAATCCTGAAAGGTTCAAGATCATCTTGATACCAAATATGAAATATTGCACTTGGAACAGATGTTTGTCTCTGTGTGATTGATTACTCTCTCATTGCTATGAAAAATACTCTGACAAGTGCAACTTATTTTGACTTACAGTTTTGAAGGACATGGTGCATCATGGCCATGATGATGTGGCACTAGGCAAGGAAGGCATACCCATAGGAGCAAGAGGCTGCCTAGTCACATTGCATGGAACCATGAACAGAAGTAGCGCGGGGCTACAAAGCCTCTAGTCCTGCCTCCAGTGACCCACTTCCTCCAGTGAGGCTCCATAACCTTCCCCAAAGCAACACTGACAATGTCTTTCTGTAGTGTGAGAGGACGATTACATCTTGATGCTGTCTATGTTTTCTCTCTTTTTTTATTTTTATAAATTCCACTGTTTGCCCCATTCAGTTTTGCCATTACTATTTTTACCTATTAATTTTCTCTTAGTAAACAAGGAAGTAGATTTCCTCGTGATATTTTCACGCACATTTAACTCAGCTCTTCTCTGTTTACCTAAACCTGTCATAAAAATTCCTCCTTTTCTATGCTCCCATAATTTAGGTATCTACAAGCAGACCTGGCTTTATATGTCGCAAACCTGCAAAGAATTAATTGCTTGGTCGGGAGGATGCATCTGTGGATGTTAACTAGTAGGCTGGGGCTGAAGTCTAAAGTCTTCAGACTCTACAGCAGTGACCCTCACAGCTGCTCAGAGGTGAAGCTAACAGTCGACCTTTGGCTCCATGCATCCAGACTCTAGAATTATCCCCAGTTGATGGAGTGGGCCCCTAGGCACCAAGGGTGGATCTATGTTTTCCTTCATCCTCTCTGGTCTGGGTCAAACCTTCAGCTTCCTGAATGTACTGCTTTCTATCCCTTTGATCTCAAAAACGTTCTCCCAGGGCACCTGGGACACCCACTGCACCATTTTCCATCCTGTAGATACCTTCTACCTGTAAATACAACTGAAAACACAGGCCTGGTGGAGTACTCTCCCTTGTTTGAAATATCTTCTCTAGGTTCTGGGTGTTATTTGCTAACCATTCATCCAACTAATACCTCTTTCATGCCTTCTATCAGGTTCATGAATATACAGGTAGGGAAGACAGTGTTTCTGTCCTCATCTTCATTCAGACGGAGTGACAATTGATACACAAGTAATCATGACAATCCTAAATAAGAACAAACATCCAAGAGAGGCAACATTCATCAACGGAGCAGGACATGCCTCTGAGTGCCATTTTATGATTTCCTATTCATTTTCATTGTTACGTTGAGACTGAGTCTCTCTGTGTGGTACTGGTTGGTCTAGAACTTGCTATCTAGAGCAAACTGGTCTTCAACTTGTGAATGTCCTCCTAGATTTGCCTCCTGAGTGTTATGGGATATTGTTTTAGCTGGACAAACATGCGTTACATTTGTTTGTTTATGCTGCGTTTGTTTAATTATGAAAAGATGTGTTGCTGTTTCACCTTGCCTGCCTAAGGCAACTGATTGGTCTAATAAAGCACTGAACAGCCAATAGCCAGGCAAGAGAGGGAAAGGCAGGGCTGGCGGGCAGAGAGGATAAATAGGAGGAGAAATCTAAGAATGAGAGGAGAAGAAAGAGGAAAAAGAGGCGACATGCTCAGGGCAAGAAATCAGGCAACTGTCACTCAGTCATGAGCAGCAGTGAAAGTAAAATATACAGAAGGAAAGAAAAGTAAAAAGCCTCGAGGAAAAAAGGTACATAAAGAAAACCAGGTTAATTTAAGTTAAAAGAGCTAGCCAGAAGTGAGCCTAAACTAGGTCGAACATTCATAACTAATAAGAAGTCTCTGTGTCATGATTTCGGTGCTGGTTGATGGCCCAAGGTAAAGAGCCTGGTACATCTGAGAGCTAAGATTACAGTTTGCACCCACGACCCACTAGGGTGCTGATTCAGCTCAGGCAGCCAAGCCAGGCCTCCTGGGGAAGGGATGTTGATAGTTGAGAACCTAATGAAGGGAAAGTGGCAGTTATGTGAAGATCAGGGAGCCATGATTTCAAGCATAAGGCACAGTAAGAATAAGGATTGTGAGGTGGAAACCATCCTGGGATTGGTTTTAGGGTTGGAGGTAGGGGACATATGGTTACATATGGGCCAGGAGTGATGACAGAGGGCTTTAGAGATCCGCATGGCACCAAGACCATGGGAATGAGGCCACTTGTGGGGGTCCTTACCACAGCAAGTGAATGTGTACTGAGCTGCACCCAAGTGAATTTTCAAGAATTGTTTTTTGGAGGTCCAATATATAATGTCCATTAATTTATTATAATGAATTAGATGGAAATTTTCCTTAATTTCTACAAATGTAAAAATAATTCACCTTGAAAAAAGTATGCTATAGACAGAATTATAGTTAATAATTACATTTGAGAATGTTCATTTACTATAAGTAAAAAAATGAATGACACCATCATAATCTGATGAAAATTAACTGTTTCTCAAGGGACTGGAAGCTTGTTCATGTGTCCTTTCTGTTTTCTGAAGTTGTAAAAGAACTAAATTAGGACTCTTTTCACCAAAGAGCTCTCTGTATGAACCTGGTTTGATCTGGAGTATTTTAACTGGTCAAGATTCCCATAGTGTGTATTAGAGATGCATGTGTTGCCCACGTCACCTGTGTGGCCTAGTCAATATTACTTCTGAGAACAGGAGGAAATGAAATACATGCACTGTAATGGAGTAGGAAGAAACCGTGACTCAAAGTTGCTTTTAATTTTGTATCACACAGGCCCGCTGTTGCCCATCATCCGCCTTGCTGGTGGGAACAGCGGGCATGAAGGTCGGGTGGAGCTGTACCACGCTGGCCAGTGGGGGACCATCTGTGATGATCAATGGGACGACGCAGACGCCGAAGTCATCTGCAGGCAGCTGGGTCTCAGGTTTGCTTTCTGTCATTTTCTTAATTTTTGACATTGTTACTTCTGTAAACCAGAGAGGGTACTTATGTTTAAATTGCACAGTTCCTTAAACCAATAAAAGAGGCCACCTTTTTTTATTTTTATCTTTGTACTAGTGTGTAAACTCCCTGAAGAGTACATACATGTATTCTATAGGTCTTATCTGCCTTTGCCTGAGCAAGGAATTTTACTACTTCCAATGTAGCCTTTACGTTACTCTTAGGTCACCGCTGTCATTGTCTACTACAGTTATTATTTTTCATAAGTTGCTGGATGATGCACTGATTGTTAGATTCCGTTAAATTTAACTTTTCCAAAGATTACCTAAAAGCTGGAAGTTCACTGCTTCTTTTGTTAGTTATGCTTTGGAGCCAAGGTTGTTTCTTCATGCACAAAGGAAGTAATTCCCATATATGGAATGGAATGACATGTATAAAGACATCAGGATGAAAACCACCATCCAATGTCCTTTCAGGCTTGTGATTATTCTGGAATATTATGCTTTTTTAACATTGGTTAGCAAGGCTTAAAAGTTTACCCAGGAGCATGTGAGATCTTTTAAAGGTTAATATTTTACACTAAATTTTGTTATTCTACTTAGCACTGTGCAGGAGGCCCCTGTGATAAGAATCTTTCAGGCGTATATCATGTTGTCTAGTTAGTCAAAATCTTTGATACTGAGGTAGGATTTGTAATTTTGGGTCAATTAGTCTAAGTTGTTTGGAATTGTTTTATGGCTCTTGCCTTTTCAAAACTCTATATTTACACTGAAGTATTTTAAAGTATTTAAAACTTTTATCTCTAAAAGCTGTTTTTTATTTTAATTTATTTTTTAAATTTCATTTTACATTCCATCCACAGTTTTCCCTCTCCCCCTCCTCCTCCCTCACCTTCCCCCAAGCCCACACCTCATTCACTCCTCCCAATGGGTAAGGGTTCCCATGGGAGCCCATTAAGTTGGGGCAGTACGAAGCCCCTCCCCGGTGTATCTAGGTTGAGCATAACATCCCTCCATAGGGAATGGGCTCCAATAAGCTAGTTCATGCACCAGGGCTAGATCCTTACTGCCAGGTGCCTCACAGTCCAAACTTCATCACTGACTCTCCCATATGGAAGGTTTAATTTGGTCCCATGGAGGCTCCACAGCTGTTGGTCTAGAGTTCATGAGTTTCCCTGAGCTTGGTTCAGCTGTCTCTGTAGATTTCTCCATCGTGATCTTGACCTCCCTGGCTCCTATATTCCCTCCTCCCTCTCTTCGGTTGGATTCCTGGAGTTTGGCCTAGTGCTTGGTTGTGGATCTCTGCATCTGGCTCCTTCAGTTACCGAAGGCTCAATGATGATAGTTGGGGGTATTCAGCAATCTGATTACAGGGAAGGCCAGTTCGGGCTCCCTTTCCACTATTGCTAGGAGTCTTATCTGGGGTCATTGTGGATTCTTGGGAATTTCCCTAGCACCAGGTTTCTCCCTAAGTCCATCGTGGCTCTTTCTACCAAGATCTCTCTTTCATTGCTCTCCCACTCAATCTCTGAAAGCTTTAACAATAAGAACACTGTCCAGCATAGCCAACATACCATTATCATAATGAGCCTAATTTCTCTTATATTCAAGTGTTTGGAGTCACTCACACAGTGTCTTTGACACATGGTTTGTCCATAGGAGGACAAGGACAAAGTAATCGAGTGTAGTTGGACTTTATGGCCCTCAAGTTTTAGAACCTACGCCAGTCTCTTCCGTTTTCATAGCCTAGACTTGTTGAATGGACACACTGGAGACTGTCCCATCTTCTGGCTTAGTGTCCTTAGGTCATTTCATTCTTACAGATTCTGAAATTGGGAACTAGTCACAAAGGCTTCATTGGCTCAGTGCTAGCGTTCTGCGTAGGAACCATCACAGGTGATGGGATATTTTCTTCTCCACCAGGAGTCACAGAGTCAAATTGGCTCCTTTTTGTTTGTTTGCTTGCTTAAATCCCATAATGGCAAGGCTAAAGTTTAGCATTAAGGCAACATTTTCAGTTCTAACTGCTGATTTGTAGTTCATGTGTGGAAAAGGAACAAGCCTGAGAAATCCTAGGACAGTGGCTTTGACCTTAAACACTAGCAGTATTATTGGCTAGTATTCCTTTAGGTGGGTCAGATAGGGCTAGTCAGTTCTTTTTAACAAAACTGTAACAAATTGTGCATTTTTCCAGTTGAATTTTTTTTAATAGTTTGGCTATGCATCAGTTTCAAGGCCATTGCTATGAATGTTTCCAAGTGTCGCTGTTGGAGATAGGATAACATTGCACGAGTGCCTGCCGGCCTCTCAAAGCCTGTGGCCCTACCTCTGAGCTGTTACAGGATAGCTCTTACTAACAGTTCTCTTGCCTACCACATGTTTCTAATTTACAGCGTTTAGCTATGTAGCAGCCATCTAAAATTCATCGGCTGTTGGGGTCAATCTAATTAGGGAGCATTAAGAGTAAGCTGGGCATTTGGTGGTGAGGTTATTAGACACGATTCCTCTATTCAGAGCTTCTATTTAGTTAGAGGTAATCTATTCGGGGTTCTGTATTTTCAAAACGCTCTGATGCAGTGGTTCTCAACCTTCCTAATGCTGCAACGGTTTAATACATTTCCTCATGTTATGGGGACCACCAATCATAAGACCGTTTTCCTTGCTACTTCATAACTGCAATTTTGCTACTATTATGAATTGTAATGTAAATACCTGATATGCATGGTATCTCATCTGTGACCTTGTGGGGCTCACCACCCACAGGTTGAGAACTGCTGCTCTAACATGTGTGATCTGTACTTACTGAGCTGTCAATTACTTAAACTCAGGGAGTGCTAAGTGTTTTTTTTTTATCTTGACTATGAAGAAGTCTATGCCTTTACCCCAATAGCCTTGTAAAGACTATGTCAATAGCATGTTGACTTTTTATTAATTAAAAGTTTTAATTTTTTTGAGATTTTAATACTCCTTACATCATTTCCACCCCTCCTTCTTACCACTCCAGCTCCTCCTGTTCCCCCAATCTTTCTCTCAAGTCCATGACCTCTTTTAAAATCGTTGTTACATATATACCCTATATACCAACATGTGTTTGTTCACTGAAAGGCTAAGTACCTTTGGATGAAATTATTTTTAGTGTTCGATGTTTGATAGGAGACGGCGTAGTTGTTTCTTGCTTTATTTATTTTGTCCGTAGGCGAATGTCATCTCACTTTTGCTTGCCTTGTTGGATTCCCCAAAGGAGCCTGCATCATGAGTTGCTGCAGTGCTGGTTGCAATTTCCGTGTGAGATTCTGTCATTGTGACCTTCGCATTTGAATAGAATCTGTGTATATTGGTAGCTGGAGAGCTTTCTCAATGCAAAAGGAATTATTGTACTTAAGATACTTAAATTTGATTAGCTCAGTATGTGGGGATGATGAAGAAGAAAAGGGAGACAGGCAGATGCTTTCAAATTAGATAACCTGGGGGTGCTTATGTATCCAGTACTGTTAGGTGGAGCCATTCTCGAGTTCCTTTCTGTGAGCTTAATATTAAAAGCCTTTTAAAAGCACAGCTTAGCATGACATCACATTGAATGTGCTGGAGTTCCATAATTTACACAGAAATTTAATTATTTAAGTGCATCTTTCCATTAGTTTTGTTTTCCTTAGGGGGAGCTATAAAATTCTCCTATAGAATGATAGTAAATGTTAGGATAAAATTATTATAGTATACGTTGATTTTTAAACCTTTTCTTTGCCTTTTTATTTCCCTCTCCATTAGAAACACTTTGACTGTCTTACAATATTTACAATTCAAATTTCTGGGTATATGGACTTGGGTGATCAGAGAGGAAAGTGTATTAACAGAGGCGGAAGTTGTGCCCTCCTGTAGCCATGTTCTTGGCTCCGTGCTGTGAGTCAGAACCAGTCTTGAGACTCAGGATCCTGCCAGTAGAGGATTTTCTTCACTCATGCTATATTCTGTAAAATGACAGAACGAAAACATAGAGCTGGAAGACACAGAGAAGTAAGAAGAGAAAGAAAGCGATAGCGACAGCGTTTTGGCTGGACTGTGTTAGACGTGGCATCTGCCATCAGCTGGAAACATCCTCGGAGGCTGTAATGCGGTAGCGGTTCAGGGTCTGCTGATAGCAACCATTTAAACCCAGTGGGATGCTGGGAAAGCTATTGAACTTGTGAGCCTCCGTTTTCTTGCCCATAACGTTGATGTGATAACATGATGAAGTTGGGGAAGATTAAATAAGGTAATAAGCGCAGTGCTCACAGTGCTCTTAGACCAGTGCCTGGCAAATCTTAAGCAGTCATTGTACATTAGGAGTCATTGGTGATGGAGGGGACCATGGGCCAGCACACTGATCATTAGACATGAGTTTCTATAGCCATAGGTTACAAGTGTTACAAACTGATATATGTAGTTAAAGAACCAGTCCTCTAGAAACTAAAGAGTATGTGCTTACCTGGCCTTCCTACCTTGTCTTTGTCAAATAGTGGCCATGTATGGGTCCTGAGTTGATCATATTTGGCCATTGCGATAATGGTTCCATGCACTTTGATTAGTGAAGAGAACACACTGAATGAGGGTCAGGCACAGAATGAAGTCGGCGAGTGTTCATTGGGAATTATTGTCACCTGAGTCAACTAGCTTCACAAATGAAACAAGCCAGGGTGTTACATCAGAACAGCATTTCCCATAAGCCTTCTCTGTAGTCAGGACAAGCAAGGAGTGAGTGTTTGGACCTTCAGCATGAAGCTGGCTGGCTGGTATGGAAATGATTGCCATATGGGAAGGACAGAGCACACGTGGCTTACTCAATTCACGTAGAACTTTTTGACATCCTAGTTAATGAATTTGATGCCTCTTTCCCCAGTATTATCTGATCTCTTTAAAAGGAGTCATTTATTTCTTTGCTTTTCCTACGAAAACCAGCAGCAGGGCACTAGGAATTCCTGCTTGAAGGAACACGTGTGTGTGTGTGTGT